TTTCTGATGGAGGGTCTAGGCCCGAAACGTCAGCCTTTCTGCTCCTATGATGCTGCTTGGCCTGCTGTGTTCATCCAGCTCTGCACATAGTTGTCTCGGATTCTCCAGCATCTGCAGTTCCTACTATCTCAGGAAACTATGTGCTCTGCACTAAATCCATAGTTAATTAGTCAAATAGCCAGAAATAATCAAAAGGAAGATTTAGTACACTAGTCCGACATATAGTGGAGCAGCTTGTATACACAGACATCAGAGTGGCACAGACAGCCCAAATCTTGACAGAGAGAGGGATATCTTGACAGAATATAATTACACCCCAGGGCAAAAAACACAGGCTCGGGAAATGGAATGCCTGCCTGTTAGATCGGCTACATTTAGGAGAGATCAAGGACTGTCCTGCAAACACTGACCCTAGCCAACAGGTACAAGACACTCAGTACTTGTCAGGAGAAGGAGAAAGATTGTAGGAAGGGCAGCCACACTGACCCTATGGCACCACAGTCACCAGACTGTCCAGGGAGAGAAGAGCAAAACGGAAATGTTATTGATAGGACAGTCTATAATTAGGAGGAGAACAGATAGCTTCTGTTGTAGTCAAGGATAAGAATCCTGAAGGGCTTGTTGCCTGTCTAGTGCCAGGGTGAGAGATATCTTTGATAGCTGGAGTGGAATTTGGAAAGGGAGGAGACAATGATAAGAAAACAAAAAAAAAGACAAGTTAAAAAAAAATGAAGAAGACAGAGAAGATCTATTAAATGAAATGATCAAGGAACAGAAACAAATTAGTAAAATATTTTACAGGCACATCAATAGAAAAGATGGCAGGTGCTTTGAGAATAGGATCATTAAAAGGGAGAAACAGGATGATAATCACAGGAAACAAAGGCAAAAATATTAAATAAATTATTTCACTTCAAGTGTTTACAAGGGAGACAGAAGAGGTCAACATGATGTTGAATGATGAGATTAGCAATTAGATAAGTGTTTAAAATTTTATAAAAAAAGGATGTATTGAATAAACTCAGTGAATAAAGCCCTTGGTTGATGATCATATCCATATATTTTAGAATGATTGAGGGAAGAGATAGAGGCATTACTACTGTATGCAATAATTCATTGGAAAAAAGTGCAGAGATATAGGATCGGTGGATTGCTGACATCAATTTAAGAAAAGACAACAGATCATGCGGGGGAATTATAGATCAGTAAGATTAAAACAAGTTGTAGGAAAAATAATGGAACCTTTACTAGAGATAACAGAAGAACTTCTAGAAATGAAAAACAATGACATCAGGAAGGGGAAACCTTGTTTGACTGTCCTGGACTTGGAGGAGTTAACAGAACGTACATGACCCTAGTGCAAGATGTTTCTTTTCTGGATTTTCGGATGGCCTTCAAATGAGGCGCCTCATAATAAACCAAAAAAATTAAGGTCAGACAGTACAGTGTAAGGAGACAAGAGGCAAAATGCGCTGTTAACAAAAAACAAAGAACTCCAGAAAATTCAGATAACATTGCTGGAAGAACTCAGCAGTTCTGGCAGCATCTTTGGAGAGAAAGCAGAGTTAACATTTTGGGTCCAGTGACCCTTCTTCAAATAGGTCCTTCTGGAGGAGGGTCACTGAACCCAAAACATTAACTCAGTTTTTCTCTCTCCCCACAGATGGTGCTGGACTTTTGACTTTTTCCTAGTAATTTTTATCTGACTTTCAACATCTGGAGTTCTTTGTTTTTAAACCACAAGCTGGTCATTGTTCTTCTCTTTATCTATGCACTGATCCATATTAATGAATTTAAATTAACAGCCAATTTTTCCCTTTTTTGTAAATTGCACACATTCACATGAAATTATTTAAGCTTTTCAGAAATATTACAACTAATTTCCTGAAACTCAGTGGAGGAACAATGCGATTGATAGCTGCAACTTTCTATTCCCGAATGCAACAATTTAATCAAAATGAAAAGACCACAAAACATTTAATTGCTCCTGCCCTGTAGAACTATGGCTGGATGAGTGAGAAGACATCTGTGCCCATTATAATAATACAGTTCACCTTCATTAAAATAATTACTGATCTATATAATATTATTATCCATCTCATTAAAGATACCAATCAACTTAGTTTGGTTTCAACTTCAGGCTTTCCAAATGTATTGTTTCCCTCCACTCAGCACTTTACAGACTGAGTTTTATACCATTAGACAGTGCATAATATTGACCCAATTCTAATGGTACTTGTCCTGATCAGTGAGTTCACAGAATCCCTACAGTGTGGAAACAGGCCCTTCAGCCCAACAAGTCCACATTGACCCTCAGAGCATCCCACCCAGACCCGTCCCCCTATAACCCACCTAATCTACACATCCCTGGAGTCTACAGGCAATTGAGCATGGCCAAACCACCTAAACTGCACATCTTTGGACTGTGGGAAGACACCCACGCAGACACGGGGAGACTGCGTGGAGTTTGCACAGTCTCTCAAGGATGGAGCTGAACCCGGGTCACTGGTGCTGAGAGGCAGCAGTGCTAACTACTGAGCACCGTGCTGCCCTTTGTTTGTTGCCTATTACTGGTTACCAATATCAAAAAATGTATCTTTTTGTTTAAAGTCACAAGAATAAAAAGCAGATCATTAAAAGATGGTATGATCAGGCTATTTTGTTTGGAATGACAATTTTGTTTTCATTCACTCGTGGGGGCATAGACATCGCTGGCTGGCCAGCAGGTGAGAGGAGAAAGATTTAAAAAGGGACCCAAGGGGCAACTTTATCACACAGAGGGTGGTTTGTATGGAGAATGAATGGCCAGAGGAAGCAGTAGATGCAGGTACAATCATTTAAAAAGACATTTAGACAGGTACAAGAGGAAAGGTTTAGAAGGATATGGGCCGAACGCAGGCAAATGGGGCTGGTTTAGTTTGGGAAACCTGGTTGGCACAGACTAGTTGGGCCAAAAGGGTCAGTTTCCATGCTGTGTGACTCTAAGCAGAAATCACCATAATGCTTTAAACATCATATCCATTAATTCAATAATGGGGGAATAACTGCAAACAACATGCATGGTTGAATGCAAGTACAATAACACTTAACGTATCAAGATTTAAAAGCTTAACTATTGCATTTTTCTTTTTGAAAGATGTCAAAGAGTAATTAATACTTTCCAAAAGGAAAACATTCTGGAATGCTAAACTTTATTCAATGAGATTCCTTTCACAATACTTCAGAAAATATTATGATGCAGCAGAGTTTGGTTGGTTCTTTGCCACAGGACTCACTATCAAAGCTCTCCACTATTCAGTACCCTCTGGCTCTGGTCTGTACTGTTTATTGACACACAATGGCAACACTCAAACAGTTACTTCCGTTACACCTCCCCTCCAATGGGACTTCTTCCAATGTGAAGTAAAAAAAAAATAGAACTACTGTAGGGATATCACTACATTGACTAGCACAGATGCTATGGTGGTTCAAGATCTATCACCTCCACCACAACCTCAAGTCAGTGACCAACAGCTTTCCATAAATAAAAACAGAAAGAAAATGAAATCATAATCTCAAAATCAAACTGTGAAAAGCTTAGGTCATGCGTTGTCACACTCAGTGGTAACACTGGGTTATCACACTACCACATCTTTACTGGAATTATGCAGGCTAGGCAGCATCAGAGAAGTAGGAAAGTCGACATTTTGGGTTGGGACCCTTGGTTCCCGACTCACTGTCAACTTTGCTACTCCTCTGATGCTGCCAGGCCTGCTGTGTTCCTCCAGCTCCACACGGTTATCTCTGACTCCAGCATCGGCAGTTCTTACTATCTCTTTACTGGAATCATTCCTTCTTTGCGACGATGGTGATCCTAATCTCTGGTCAGAGATCTCTACTTGCCACACATTCCAACAGAACGGACTAGAAAGCAAAAGGCAATGAAGAGCTACAAGTATGCTGGCTTCTTTCACTCTGGCAATAGCCTAATGGTACTATTCTCTAGTCCTGCAATCTGGAGACCCAGCTAACGTTCTGGGGATCTGGATTTAAATCTCAACGTGGCAGATGCTAAAATTTGAATTCAATAAAAATGTAGAATTAATATTCTAACGATTACGATGGATCCATTGGTTGGTTGTCAGGAAAAACCCATCTCATTCACTAATGTCCTTTAGGGAAGGAAACTGCCATCCTTGCTTGGTCTGGCCTACACGTGACTCCAGACCTATAGCAATGTGGCTGATTCTCAACTGCCCTCTGGGTAATTAGGGATGGACAATGAACGCTGGCCCAGCCAAATGGTGCCCACATCTTGTGAATGAGTAAAAAAGAAAAACTGTCCAGGCATGATGTTCTGGGAAGTGGCTGCATGCCCATCATCCAATCAGGGAATAATTGTTACGAACACAATAGCATCATATATGTAAGGGAGTTATGTCTACTGAACTTAGGTTTTAAAGTGGCCAGAGTGCATGGGCAAATATGCGAAACTAACTGGAAGAGAAAATAATCCTCAAAAGAGACGCTGTATACAAAACCGATTTCTACGCAAACAGTGCTTCACTATTTTTTTTTTTTTTTTTAAAAAGAAGTTCAGAAATGTTTAAAAAAAAAACAAACTTTCCAGATTCACTTTCATGGTCTCAGGACACCCAAAATCTCTGCCACAGCTAGCGATTGAGGCCAAAACATTGAATTTTTTCAAGAAAGAGTTTGATATAGTTCTTCAGTGAAGATGGTTATCTAAAAATATAACAGGATCTTGATCAACTGGGCCAGTGGGCCGAGAGATGGCAGATAGAGTTTAATGCAGATAAATCTGGGGTGTTGCATTTTGGTAAGACAAACCAGGACAGGACTTATACAGTCAAACGGTAGGGCTTTGGGGAGTGTTGATGAACAGACAGACCTTGGGGTTCAGGTACATAGTTCCTTGAGGAGTGGTGTCACAGGTAGACAGTGTGGTGAAGACAGCATTTGGCACTCTTGTACTCAATGCTCTGACCGATTTGAAGGCAGGAGTTGGGAGGTCATATTACTGTTTTACAAGACATTAAGGCCACATTTGGAGTACTGCTGTTATTAAAAAGGATGTTATTAAACTGGAAAGGGTGCAAAAAAGATTTACAAGGATGTTACCAAGACTGGGAGGTTTGAGTTATAAAGAGAAACTAGGACCTTTCCCTCCACGCCCTAGAGTGTAGGAGGTTAAGAGGTGATCGGATAGAGATTTATAAAATAATGAGGGGCACAGATAAAGGTGAATGGCCAAGGTCCTTTCCCAGGGTAGGGGAGTCCAAAAGGGCATAGATTTAAGGTGAGAGGGGAAAGATTTAAAAAAAAAGGGACTTAAGGGGCAACTTTTTCCACACAGTGGGTGGTACGTGCATGGAATGAGCTACCGGAGGAAGTGGTAGAGGCAGTTATAATTACAACATTTAAAAAGGACATTTGAATAGCTGCAGGAGTAGGAAAGGTTTAGAGGGATGTGGGTGTAACACAGGCAAATGGGACTAGTTTGGTTTAGGACACTTGGTCAGCATGGACAAGTTAGGCCAAGGGCCCGTTTTCATGCTGTATGACTATGACTTTGAGCTAGTATCCTACTTCTGAAATGTAGTTATGTTAATGAGGACAAAACAACAACCAATTTGTGTGCAGCAAGGTCTCACAATCAGCATTGTTTTTGTTTCTGTCACTATCCCAAAGTGCTGGGAAAGCTTGGTAGGTCTGGCAGTATCTGTCAGAACCAAAGGGTCATTGGACTCAAAACATTAACTCCAGAGTGAACATTTCAAGTGCAGTGACCCTTCTGTCAGACCTGACGAGTTCTCCCAGCACTTTCAGATTTCCAACATCCACAGTTTTTCTTTATTTTAGTTATTAACATGGTAATGATACAGCAGGAGAAATAAATACTGCCAAATGAGGGAATTTTTAAAAAATAAAATCATATCATATACAAACCTATGTTCACTCAAGCAGGCAGGTAAATTGCTTTAACATTTCATGAGAAAGATAGATACACTGACAGTGCAGTGATCTTTCAGTACTGCACTGGAGAGTTAGGTTAGATTTTTATGATGAAATAGAATGCCTACAGTGTGGAAGCAGGCCAATCAACCCATCAAGCCCACACCAACTCTCCAAAGAGCATCCCACCCAGACCACCTACCCCCACACCCTTTCCTTGTAACCCTGCGTTGCCCATGGCTAATCCACCTAGCCTGCACATCCCTGGACACAACAGGACATTTTAGCATTGCCAATCCACCTAACTTGCATATCTTTGGACTGTGGGAGGAAACTGGAGTATCCAGAAGAAACCCACACAGAAACCAGGAGAAATATGCAAATTCCACACAGACCTGAGGGAGGAATCAAACCAGGTCCCTGTAACACAGCAGTGCTAATCACTGAGCCACCGTGCTGCCCTCTTTGTGTACTCAAAATGTCTGGAGTGAGTCCTAACCCACAACGTTCTGATTCAAAGGCAAGAGTGTGTGTGATACCATCTAGAACACAACTGACATACCAGGGACAGGGCTAAAGTAAAGGTAACCGAGACAATTGATGGAATACATTATTAAAAGTTGCTTGATCTAGGAAGTGAAAAACAATAAGGTCTTATCGAAGAACAGCAGCAAGTGCAGGCAAGATGCAAAATGATTTTGAATATTCACAGATCAGAACTTCCCACCGTTATTCCCTCTTAGATTAAATAATGAAGGTGTATTCCAATTGAGAATAGGCAATAGATATTGATTAACGTAGAACAATCTTAAAAGGAAACACCAAGGATAAGGATAAGGATTCAAGAAATAGACTTGGGTGTGGGGGTTGGGGTCAAGAGGACAAAATTATACAGAATGAGAAGAGGGTGCCAACTGATCGTGCTAATGAGGGCCCGGAGATGCAGCAGGAACAGTTAACTGTCAATCTTCACGCTCAGACCATGCTGGTAAACTCTGGTCATGGTGTTGCCATCAGAATGCAGAGATTAGTAATCTCCATGACCACTTTTCCTGCAATGTGAGAAAAAGGTGCAAGGTACGTACAATTTAATTTTACTTACATAAAACAAGGTTCAGTGTATTAATATTGCACTCAAATGCATCATGCTTCAAAAGCTGACAATCTTAGTTAGTTTCTGGTGTAATTCTTACAGCACTGGGCATTAATTATATTGATCAAATTCTAATGGTACTTCTTTTGTAATTCTTCCAGGTCATGTATAAATGTCCAACAGCAGAACAGATCCAATGTCAACCTGTGCCAAGAATTATACCAGAAATCAAGTTAAGATTACCAGCCAGGCTTGCAGCAAGAGGCATGTGCATCTGAGGGAAGTTACAGAACAGTTTTAATATAGGCAGAAAAAATTCATACATATAATCGCACCTTTATCATTGAAAGGAAAAGTCACAGAGATTGCCAAATCTCTGTAGTACTTCTAAGGGACCATGACCACATCTTCCTGCCTGGTCTGAAAGCTATGATTGACAGTTAACTGCTCCTGCTGCATCTCCGTATCAACAGTGTCCTTCAATCAGTACCCACTTTCCATTCTGAGAAATTTGGTTTCCCTCAAGTCTACTCCTCATATCCAAGTCTGTGCAAGAGACAAATGGCTTCAACTTATCTCCTTTTAAGGATATTGAAGTCCTGTACAACAAAGCAATTCTGTATGGAACAAAATCTGGTGATTCACAATTCCCATAGAGTCATCGATTCCCTAAAGCATGGAAGCAGGCCATTCAACTCATCAAGTCCACACTGACCCTCCAAACAGCATCGTACTCAGACCCACCCCTTACCCTACACCCCTGCATTTCCCATGGCCAATCCACCTAACTTGCACAACTTTGGACTGTGGAAGGAAACCGGAGCACCTGGAGGAAAACCACGCAGATACGAGGAGGATGTCTGTGTGGAGTTTGCACAGTCACCAGAGGCTGGAATCAAACCTGGCTCCCCAGCACAGAGACACAGCAGTGCTAACCACCGAGCCACCGTGCTGCCCCATAACCTCAGCAGGTCCTATCACTGGTAGGCTCCCTCATTTCATAGAGGTCACCACAGATAACTACACTTAGACTGACCACTAAGACTTAACGGCTAACATGCCCTGGGCGCAAAGATCAAACTTGGAGGGGCCCCCAAGACAAGTAATTGGTGAACAGTGGGGCAAATGAAGAGATCAATCCCTCACTGCTCCACTTCAAATCGAGATTTAAAACTACAAATGCATTTTCAGAACACAACCAAACATATGTTCAGTAAGCCACCCATTTGAGAGTGTAATCAGAAATACTTGGATGTCCTCACCTCTCAGTCTCACATGAGGAAGGCAATGTCAGCAAGGGCAGATTACAGAATGGGTCCATTAGCAGCCTACATCCCCAAACTTAAACAGAAGTGGGGGACAAATCAAACATAAATATAAATTGCTGACTAGCAGGTTCTGACCATGTTTTTTCCCTACCTGATACCCCTACATTACTGACCGTTGGAAAGCCATTCCAAAATTCAAGGGCACGTTTGTTTAAATGGGTGTTCTTGTTCTGTGCTTTGTGATTCACTTAAATCCCCGAATTGCACGACAATAGAAGCTTTTACGTAAAATTTACCACTTTAGTGGGCAAGAGCTAAGAGACAGCTATAGAAAGCCAAGTGACCCCATTAGATCATCATGTTAGTTACTTGCTTTTGTTTGCAAAGTCTATGAATTTATATTAGCAGTCGATCTCACCATGTGCACCATAGCCTTAGCCGTATCCAATAGCAGGGGATACTTTCTTTAAAAATAAAAATAACAGGAAACACAACACCACAAATGCAAGGCACATAAGCGCCAAGGCTGGGTCTGTAGTCAATGCATTCTCACCTGTGAACAGAAGGTAAAGTGCATACCTTGACCCTGTCTGCCCGATTGTTGAACAGCCCAATTCGCCTGATTGTGTTGAGGATGGGGTCGTTACCGTCATCAAGCATGTTGTGTGTGGTCACTGGCGGCAGCGTTTGGCGCTGAAGTCAGTTAGAACAAAGCTCTAGTCAGTGGCTGGAGTAAAAACAAATGCTAAACAATGGCTCAATACTGCGAAGTGGGATCTTGTGGCAGTTTAGTAACGTCCCCAGCTACGGGCCAGAAGATTTGGGGTTCAAGTCCCGTCAAGTATCGTTACATGCCCAATAAAATAATTTAATAGTTGTTTGAGGACAATCACACCTCAAAAAGGGAGCTTTCAGTTGAATCAGAACGTAAATATAGTGAGGCATTAATTCCAAATCATTAGCATCAAATTTCTTCTAAACAGCATTACTGCTGGTTTGTATTGGAAATAGATTCAAATATTTGAACTAAATCTAAGAAGTGATGCAGAACAATCTATGCATTTTATTTCTCCCCTTTTGGAAAATGTCCTGTCCCAACACGGACAAGTCAACAGACTTCTGTTTTATTTTGGACATATGGATTAAAGAAGTCGGTAGATAGTTAGATCATGAAATGCCCTAAGTGCTGGAACTGGGTTAAGGGGTGAATGGCCAATATCCAACCCTATGCAATACACTTCCCATATTGAATACTAGCATTGAAGCTTAGGGCTAACTAATATGTGAAAAAGAAGAAATTTTGGAGCTGCAACTTTGAAACATTAAAAAGCAACAAATGCATGTGTAATTCAAAACTGCTGGATCTAAAATTATTGTCAAACACCATCCATACTGTACTTTCTGTGCACAGAGAATTTTCACACAATAGGTCTCAAAAATTTGACGAAGACACTTCCTATGGAATTTCAAATTTATAAAAACGTTTATACAACGGCTTTCATGAATCAATAATGTTCCAAATGCTTGAGTTAATGAATTATTTTACAGCTACATACTGGGTGAAAAGATTATTCCATTCCTGAGTATACCTGAGTTGCATAGATGGCTCTTTTCATTATGGTCAAATCATCCCGATCAAAGAACTTGTTCATATCTGGGGTCTCTCCTCTGTAAATATACAGAATAATTAGCAAGTATACTGAATCAAGACAAATGGAGTTGATAAATTTTTGGGTGGTTGATGTAATTTAGTACAAAGTTACCCAATTCACAGCACAGGAGGCAGCCAATTGACCCATCGGGTCCATGTATTAAGCTTAACCTTCCACAGGTTTGGCCATGGATTTCCATGAGACTGGTCCACACATACCAGGTAAAATATTGCAGTGGTTTGCCATTGTATTCTGCAGGACGGCTGACCAGGAAACTCTTGCACTCTTACTATCTGCCATCAGGAATATTGGAAGAACTTCACGTTGGAGAAAAAAACCCATCAACCTCGTGGCCACGTTACCCCACTGCCAACAAGCCCTGGCATGGGATTTAAACCAAGACCTACTGACCTAGAGGTAGAGATCCTACCAATCACACTATATAGGATCTTTCTGAAGAAGGGTCCAGACCCGAAACATCAGCTTTCCTGCTCCTCTGATGCTGCTTGGCCTGCTGTGTTCAATAAGTGAGCTAGTTTGTGTAGATGAAAGATGGTTCAATTCAACTTTTCCCACTTTACTCTGGTTGTTTGTACTAAATTTAAAAAAAGCCCTCTTATTGCAGGAGTATTGAAAAGTACAGTTTATCGTCAGTACATCCACGCAGTTCTTTTTAAACTTGTGCTAAGGTATCTGAATAACTTACTTTAATAATGCTTCATAAAGTCGCTTCCCAAATTTCTCCTTGACTAAGTGTGCAGTATCCCTGTGGGGAATAAAGAGTGAAATGTCTTGCAGCTGAACTCTTCAAAGTTTACAGCGATACTTAAGAAAATGGAGAAGTTAACATCCTTTCATCTGGCTGTTGCAAGGGAAATTTATCATAGGATCGTAGAATCATAGAATCTCTAGAGTGTGGAAACAGGCCCTTTGGCCCAACTAGTCCACACCGAACCTCAGAGCATCCCACCCAGACTCATCCCCTTTTAAACCACCTAATCTACACCTCCCCGAACACTACGGGCAATTTAGCATGGCCAATCCACCTAGCCTGAACATCTTTGGGCTGTGGGAGGAAACCCACGCAGAGACGGGGAGAATGTGCAAATTCCACACAGATAGTTGCCCGAGGGTGGAACTGAACCCAGTCCCTGGTGCTGTGAGGCAGCAGTGCTACCGTGCTTGTAAAGTCCAATGATTATTACTTCAGGGTAAATTTGGAGGCCTTTAGGAGGAATGAAGATCAATGCATTAGGTTCAATGATCAATAAAATTAATGACCAGAGCAAAAAAGCATTATATTTGCAAGTAGTGCTTTCTACAATTAAATCTCCAATTTAAATTCTCACTAAATGGAAGGAATCACCATGGATCTGTGATACACACTATGCGGTCTTTAATAATCAAACAGTAATTGCACAAAGCAGTTTGAAGAAGAATGATCTCACTATAAATCATGCAGGGACTCCATGCTGAAAGATTGCTGCATTTGAAAACTTGAAGCACAGAAGTTCCTTAATAATATAGAAAAGACTGATTTACCAGAGCTGTTTTCTGACTGCCTGCCCCTTCAATGTTTCAACATTAAAGTTGTGCGTTTTTGCTGGCATTATGAAGAACACCACTACTGTTACATCACACTTGTGAACCTAACAAAAAAGGAAAAAATGTAGTTAAATTTAAAATTAACCAAACCTAAGTTCCCCCACAGGCCAGAAACAAAAACTTTACAGCAAGGCTTTCACAAGATTTGATTACAAATCTTTGCATATTTAAAAAAATGTCAGATGAGTTTAATACTTTGAGACTATCCCTTGCTGTTTAGTTCAATAAAGAACATTTTTAAAACCGGCTCTTACATCTAAAATAACACTGCAGGAAACAACTATGAAACCTTTGTTTGTTAAGGCAACTTAAGCAAAAATAAAAATACGCGGGGTCAAAATCGTAGCACTTCCCACTTTAAGAGCACGATGATTATCCCTAAACCCTTGAAGGCTGCAGCAGTTCAAGGCGACAGTTCACCCAGCTCCTTCTCCAGTGGAGTCAGGAATGGCCAATTTACACTGGCCTAGCCAGCAATGTCCACATCCCATGAACAAATTAAGGAAGCGAGATGCCAATATTCATCATTTCAGGTGAAATGCCATGACAAAATGTAAGGCACAAAAGTATCAGAAGAACATTATATTTCTCTCTAAGTAACACCATCCCAAGGCTGAGGCTGGGTTTCTCAACTGCACAACTGGGACAGTAAAGACAGGCAGCAAAAGAAATTCAGCAGATGCAGAGGAAGTACCACAACTGCTAGGAGTAGGCAGAAAGCTAGAAAACATGAACCAGAAGAAACTGATTGGTTTGCACAGAGGGAGGGTGAAAAATTCTGCCTACTCCTTGCAGCTGTGGCACTTCTTCTGTACAAACCAATCATTTCTTCTGGTTCATGTTTTCTAGCATTGCTGACCAATTACAGAATTTTACAAATCTGATCATGTGTTGACAAAGAAATGCTATTTTAATTGTTCTTATTGGTGGTAGGAATGAACAGTAATCTACAGGTAGCTTGGAGATTCTCTACCAATTGTGTCCTCAGCTGCCTGTTGGCCCGTGTTCTGTTAAGTCCCTCCCTCAAGATGCTCTTTATAATCTATCCGCTTCAAAAAACACAATAGGCGTAGGCCAGTTAGCTCTTCAGGCCTGCTCAGCCATTCAAAGGGATATGGCTGATCATCCAACTCAGTACCAGGTTCCAGTTTTCTCCCCATACCCTTTGATTCCTTTAGCCCCAAGGATTATACTTAACTCTGTTTTTAAAAAGAAAATTAAATGCAGAGAATTCCACAGTCTCTCCATTCTGTTTGGTGGCTCTCAAAATTTTGCCTGTAATCAAATCTGAGACACACTTTGGGAAGTGTTAGTATGTCAAATGCAAGTTGTCTTCACACAGAAAAGAAAATAAATTAAAGTACGAAACTTGAGCCCTGAACTATTGATTAAAAAGTTGAATCTTTTGCGAATGGAATTCTACTTAACAACCTTGATTGCATCTTCCTTTCCCCCATGGATTTTCTTCTTTCCAGTTCCAAAAAAAGAAAACACCAGGCAGAACGATGATGTTGTTGCATGCCACCAGTAACAAGCTCATCTTTGGGGAAGTTATGGGAAAGAATTCTGAATGATGGAATGTGTGTGTAACTGAGACACATCAATCAGGGATAGTCAGCATGGATTAGTTAAGGAAAGGGGATGTTTGACAAACTTAATTGAACATTTTGAAGGAGTACTGAGGAGGTCAATTCACTTGCTGTGGTCTCCATGACTTTAGCAAGGTTTTGAATAGGTCTTTCATGGCAGACAGGTCAAGAAAAGTTGAGCACATGGGATCCAAGCCAAAGTGGTTCATTGGACCCCAAAACTGTTGTACAGGTAGGAAGCATTTGGTGCAGGATAGAGGGATGTTTCTGTCACTGGAAATCTGTTTCCACTGAGGTTCCACAAGACTTAGTGCTGAGGCCCTTGCTGTTTATGGTGTGCATTAAAATGACTTGCGCTGAAATGTTGGGGATATGATCAAGAAATTCATCGATGACATGAAAGTGGTGGTTAATAGTGAGGGAGTTATCAACAAACTGGTCAGTGCAGTGGCAAATAGAATTCAACTTGGGGGAAAAAAAAAATGAGGTACTTCAGTTGGAGAGAGTTAATAAGCAAAAGAAATACACTGGATGATGGGCCCTGGAAAGTACTGAATATCAGAGAGATCTTGTTATGTATATCTACAGATCCCTAAAGGTTGCACAGCAGGTGGATAAAAGGTGGTTAAAGCAGAATTTTGGTCAGATGGTTCAGGTGTTCAAATGAAGGGATTTGTATATAATCAATTGCACGCTGGATATTATTTATATTTATTGCTCTCAATACTGTGCATTATTGAATAGCATTTCATCTGAAGCAGATAATCAGATGAAAATAGATTCTAACTTTTTATTTCAGGGTGTCACAGAATGTACCAACCAAGTTGGAGACTTATATGAACCAGAACAACGTTCAAGTTGAAACCAACTTTATGTAGCATCAGAACATTGACTCCACTGTGGAGTGCACTATGTATAACATAATAAAACAGAGCTAAAATTAGATCACACACAGTACAGCTGAGAGTTAGAAATGCACTTCCGTTTAAAAAAAAATATTCACAGCATGAGGGCAACACTGGCTAGGCCAGCATTTCTTACTCAGAGGACAGTTAAGGGTTAACCATATTGCTACAGGTCTGGAGTCACACGTAGATCAGGCCAGGTGGCCGTTTCCATCCCTAAAAGGGTAGAAATGAACCAGATGGGGATTTTATGACAATCAAAAATGGTTTCACGGTCATCATTTCACTCGATTCCAGATTTGTACGGAATTCAAATTCCACCATCTGCCATGGTGGGATTCGAATCTAGGTCTGTTAACTAACAGTCCAGTGACAATATCATTAGGCCATCATCACCCCCAGATGAAAGTTGGCTTGTATTTAGAAGCACCTTACAGGTTGGTGTCACAAAAAAAAAGTGCTAGGGGCAAATCTCTTGACCAGAATCAAAGGAGAGAATAAAAGGAGTAGACAGAAGACTTTCTCTAAGCAAAATGATTAGAACTTCGACTGCCTTCCTGTTAAATCACAGAGGATGGTATTTGCAACATTTAAAAGTAAATTGGATATGCATTTGAAAAAGGTACTGGATAGGGAGAGAAAGGGCAATGAAAATCAGCAATGGCAGTATTGACACATCCTGGAACAACAACTTTCTTTGTGCTTAGAATCTATTTCGCCTGATCATCTGATCTGGATGAAATGCAATTCAGTAAAACCACACCATTGAGCTAATGAATAAAGTAATACCCAGCATGCAACTGATATACACAAACCTCATCATTTGTATAATACCTCAAGCATCAGACCAAACTGTCAACTTTGCACAGAATAAAATGTAATTGGCTGTGATGAAAACAAAGTACAGCAATTATAAATTACTGGTTGAGAATAAGCAAAAACCTGTTCCCAGATTAAAACATTATGATTTGGTGAAGACTAATAGCGTGTCTTCTGCAAAAAAACTTTCACATTCTTACCCGGAGGAGGAAGTTTAACCTTGACAAAGCTTCTATGAATAAATCAACTCCTTTATTCGTAAATTCATATCTACCAGCAATGAAGAAGAACAGAGTCTTTTCCAAATTGAAATCCAGGTGGCTGGAATCAAACAGAACGATTTAAATGGGTGGAATATGCTCTAGCAAATAAACCCTGCAATAACTGATCTCTGTACAAGATGCAAAATGAATTTCAATGCTAAGATATCCTCCACTTGTAAAAACTAGACTCTGTGCAGACTATAGCAGTGACAAAACAAAACAATAATTGCTCTGAATGACTGCTGCAAGTTTTGCACATCTCTTCCTCACACAATATTTGTTTTTATAAAAAAAGAATTGCATTGCTTTGGACATTTATAGAATTTCAATGAATGCTTTCAGAAAGTCTAACCAAGTACCAACAATAATTTACAATAAGTGGATTTTCTTACATAAACAGCCTGATACTGAATTTCTTTTCAGATTAGATTGCACACTGTAAACATTTGCTTCATGTATAAGATTGCCAAAGTTCTCACTCCCATTAATAGGACTGATGAAGCATTGCTGATATTGTTACACAGAAGGAATCTCAAAAAGGATTTATGGGATAAGCCACTATTAAGAGGCAAGAGAGAAACATTAGCTTAGTGAGATCATAAAAGGTGGTTGGAAGTAAAGAAGACTTCACTGAATACCAGTTTTCTGTACATGCAATTTTTTATTGCAATGGATTGAACAAGTGAGTAAATTGGCATGTTGAGTAGAAGATTATGTTTTGTCGGGACACAGCTCATCATTTTGGCTCTAAATTCCTAGTTGATTAAACCTACTACAAAACAGTGATTTAACAGCACCTTCCACCGTCCAAAAACTTATAGTTTTGCACAACACGTAAAAGCAGAAAAAAAAAACCAAAAATAAACAAGCAATACCCATAGAAGTGGCCCCGAATAAATTCTTGGATGCGTGACTTGTACAAGGCATGCAGATTCTGAAATTCATGCATAGCAGAGAACTTCTTAATATTTAAGCCATTTGGGGTGATGACATCTAGAACAAAAAGAGAAAAATGAAGTATAGCAGGGATATCACTCTCCAGATGTCAGCGTAAGCTTTTTTTTTGAAAACAACAAACATTTAAAAATGAACCTAAATGAAATGGCTCATTATTTCGTCTGTATTTGTGGGTTGGGGGAGTAAGTACGTTCTAGCAGCGTTATACATCTGGTCAAAAGATCAGGTTGGCCACTCCCCTAACCACAATTGCACTCCCTTATGCGATGGGCAATCAAAGTGTTAGAAAGTATTCAAGATGATGGAAACAAGGGCTATCATATCCGTCTCAGATGTGGTCCTCAATAGCTCACAATTTCCAGGAAGCCTAGCACAATGATGGCCAGTTACTACAGATCAAATGAGTCAAAGATAATTTGTAGAGCTCTTCATCACTAAGATATCCTTATAACATTAGTGATAATCTCGAAAGATAGTGTCCTAAAGGAATTTTTCTAGGGAGGCACTAGGAAGCCATATGGGAATAGGAATACAGGAGAATCAAGGAAGGCAATGATTATGTTGAACAAGTAGCAGGAAGTTATTCACACAGAATGCTCAGCACAATACATGGAACAGGATCACAAATAATAGTAGAAGCACGATGCCCCAAAATAATTTGAGAATCAATCGGATGCAACGTTTGGCCGTCTGGGTCATTCTAGACAGATGAACTAAAGATGAAACAAATGGCCTTTAATCACTTGCACTTCTCTAAACTCCAACAACTCAGAAAGGAATCAAGGCAGTCTGCAATCACTGCAGCAATGCTGGATAGAGATAGAAGTTAGTGAGCTTATTACATGTGCCCATTGGAAAAAACATTGTTATCATAGGACTTCTTTAAGAAGTCCGAGTTTGAAAACTCTTAACGAAAATACTTCAGTGAAAAAGCAAAAGAATCCTCATGATCTGAATGCCTGCATCACAAAACCCAAAAAGCTAGGTGTACTAAGTGGCAGGATAATCAGTAATAAACTCCCTGGTGACAGGAAGGACTTATACACTTAATGGTAAAGGTCCTGGGGAGTGTTGCCAAACAGAGACCTTGGGGTGCATGTTCAACAGTTCCTTGAAAATGGAGTTGCAGGTAGACAGGATAGTGAAGGCAGTATTTGGTATACTTGCATTTATTGGCCAGTGCATGGAGTATAGTGGTTGGGAGGTCATGTTGCAGCTGTACAGGACATTGGGTAGGCTACTTTTGGAATAACGCATTCAATTATCTAGTCTCCTTGCTATAGGAAAGATGTTGTGAAACTTGAAAGGGTTTAGAAAAGAATTACAAGGATGTTTTCCAGGGTTTAAGCTATAGGAAGAGGCTGAATAGGCTGGGGCTATTTTCCCAGGAGAGGCAGAGGCTGAGGGGTGACCTTATGGAGGTTTATAAGATCATGACGGGTGAATAGCCAAGGACTTTTCTGCAGGGTAGGGGAGTCAAAAATAGAGGGCGTAAATTTAAGGTGAGAAGGGAAAGATGTAAAAGGGACCAAAGGGGCAACTTTCTCACACAGAGGGTGGTGCATGTATGGAATGAGCTGCCACAGGAAGTGGAGGCTGGTACAATTACAACATTTAAAAGGCATCTCAATGGGTGCATGAATAGAAAGGGTTGAGAGGGACAATGGGCCAAATGCTGGCAAATGGGACTAGATTAATTTAGGATACAATACAACACAATATAGTACATCAAAGTCTCTCTCTCTCTCTCTCTCTCTCTACAGAAACCAAGTTTCTCCAGCAATTTCTGTTTGCTTCGGATTTCCAGCATTCTGAGCTCTTTGTTTTATTAATGAGATATATACATGCCCACTGAAGCAGATAAAAACCTTGATTTTTAGGGACACTTAATGTTTGTATCTGATAAAGGGTCAGATCTCCTACAGAAATTGCTCTACTTTAATTAGGCTTTGTGATTTCTCAGCTCAAGTACATTTGCTAGTTCTCAAGTTTGCCAGTTTCTACAGTAACAATTTTCTGTTAGTAAGCTGCAAAATAATAAATTAAAGCAATGCAAAAGCAAAACAGTTTTATTTGAAGCTGATAATTTTTGGTGAAGATGGCTCTACAAATTTTGATTTCATAATGCAGACCGAGCAGTAGCAATCTTCAAAACTGGATTTTTTAAAAAGACAGAGTTAGCAGAAGACCTATGTAAACCTTGCCTGGTTTTCTCTTGATCATGTTCTCTGCCTCAACAGCAGTGATGGCAGAGACGGTCGTAAATACATGTGCACAGTGGGCACTGGCTCGCTCCATGCAATAACGATGGTAAATCTGCCTTTCTCCCGCTTCCTTGTCAACATTGAACTGTTTAGCAAGAGGAAAAAAAAAGTGTATGAGATATCCAAGTGGTTTCACACTAAGAAAGAACTCAAATCTCTGGATAGAAGGGGAACATAACTGAAAGACAAGAAATGCTCGGTCTTGTAGGTTAACTACCTGTATTTACAATTCTGTAGCCATTATGCATTACAAGATGGTTTGACAAACTAACATTTACTTGAAGATCAGATGTCCTAATGAGGGTTTTCTTCATTGTAAAAAAGGTCAACGGGACCCAAAAGGCCAGCAGCAAAGCACATGGCAAGTTTCAGTTTACTCATTAAACTACATTGATAGGCAGATGCCTAAAGGCAGGAGCATTTTCATGAATGTCAGGTCCACAGTGTCAAGCCTGAAGATGTTCATTCCAACAAGACCTACTGACAGAAAGCAAATTTTTAAAACAGACTAAAAATGCCCAATGACATTCTGAACATACTAAGTCAGGCTTCCAGATGTCAAAAAAAGTCTTTTTTTCTCCCAACCCCCCATCAACATCTTGCCTTTTTAAAAAGAGCAATACAAATCCTATAGGAAAAACAACTTTAAAGAAAAAAATTCGGTCACTGGAAAACTCCAAAACCAAGCTTCTTATTAACACTGGGCTTCAACAATTGTACTTCCAAGCCATTTTAGTGTAATCACTCTACAAAATCACATTGTTGAAGAATTACCAATTGGTCAGAGGCACTCTTCTCTAAAAGGAGGATGCATTAACTATTAGATTTCCAGTTGGGAGTCAGTTAGCTCAGTTGGGCGGATGGCTGGCTGGCTTGCATGCAATGCAGTGTGACATCAACACTGCAGGTTCAATTCCTGCAACAGCTGAAGGTCCCATCTTCTTGACTTTGCCTGAGGCAACGGTGACCCTCAGGTTAACCAACCACCAGTCATCTCTATAATGAGGGGGCAGGCCTACAGGACTATGGCAAATGTACCTTTAGAGGTGTTGTAAATAATTCAGAAGCAAATCATGTGTCCAGATTAACAGGAGGCCATGTCAACAGGTTTGATCTGTAACAGGATGTTATATTAAAAAAGTTCCACATACCTCCCATCCCGAGAGGGGGCATTCCACCCATATACCAAATGGTTTATTAATAATGCAGAACAACGAGTAATGGTCCCTAAACAGTAACAGCATCCTCCCTCAGAAAAGAGGCCATCGGAAAACCCAATGCGAGGGTCATCATTTCTTCCTCACCCCCAAACGTACGGGGGAAAAAAACCTCCTTTTCTTGCAGTATTACTGCATTCCCCCATCCTGTCATGTGGTCAATTAACATTAAAATCAGCAGGGAGCAGCAATCAGATATATTCCCTGCATACAAGACAGAAAGGCAGAGACTCAGAAGGGCCAGTCACAATGTGCAAAGTTATCTACACTGCTAGCCAAGTTGTCCCAGTTGAGCTGCAACACTGGCATCTACCAGCAATGTGGAAAATTGCCTAGTAATGTCCTATCCAGAACAAAAATCCAACTTGCCAATTAACACCCTATCAGTCTACAGTTTAACTATCAAAGTGATGCAAGATGTCATCAACAGCATTAAGCCGTTCACCGATGTTCAGTTTGGGTTCCACCAGGTCCATTCAGCTTCGGAGCTTATTCTAGCCTTGGACCAAACATGGACAAATATGACAAAAATCCAGAGGTGAGGGAGAGAGTGACAGCTCTTGAAATCAAGGTATCATTTGACCCTGTGTGGCATCAAGGACTCCTCGCAAAACTGGAGTCAATGAGAATCTGAAGGAAACTCTCCATCATTTGGAGTCATAACAAGCACTAAAAGGGAGATCACTGTGGCTGTTCGAGGCCAGTTATCTCAGCCCCAGGACACTTCTGCAGGAATTCACCAGGGTAGTGTCCAAGGCCCAACAATTTTCACCAGATTTCTCCACCATTACATCAGAAGTGTGAATGTTTGTAAGGATTATACAATCTTCAGTATCTGAAGAACCCTGGCCCCTCAATAGAAAGACCTGAGCAACAAAGGCATGAGCTAATAACTTACATTTGTGCCATGCAAGTGCAGGGTAATGACCATCTCTAATAAAAGAATCTAGCCACCTCCACTTGCTGTTCAATGGCAATACTATCACAGAATCCAGAATTGCTAACAAAATCCTGGGGTCACAATTTGTCAGCAACTGAACTAGACCAACCATACAAATACAACAGCAGGCCAAAGGAGTGCTGTAGAAACCAAGCTGATTTCTTATCCTCCCGGTGATTGTCCAGGACTGTAACGGAAGACTTTCCACTTGCCCAACGAATGCAGCTTGAGAAGCTCAACACCATCCAAGACAAAGCAGCCCATCCACCACGTTCACCATTCACTCTTTCCACCACTGACACATTACATCATTATATCATTGTCCCATATGAAAAAAAAAACACAAGTTTTGCACCTGAATAGCTTTGTGCCAATTTTGAGATTACATTGGATTTTTGATTAATCTCAGGAGGAAACTAATTTCCTGGTTATCACCCTATCGTTTCCTTACAATATTTTGAAGGCCTCAATAGGAACAGCCCCAAGAGTGATCAAACACCATGCACTGTGGAAACATTTGACAAATTACCAATTCAAATTATGCGTGCTTTCTAATTTTTGACAGTGCTGTTGTTTTGTCTTCTCCTCAATGACATCTTTATTTAATAGATTTGATTTATTATTGTCACATGTACCTGGGTACAGTACAAGTTGTATTTTGCGTGCAGTGCAGGGAGATCATGCCATACATAGTGCTTTAGGGTAATAAGACAGAGTGAGGAATACACTTATGGCCGTAGAGAAAGTGCACAAAGAGCGAGATCAACATTAAATTTTAAATTTGAGACATCCATTCAGAAGTCTAATAACAGCGGGGAAGAAGCTGTTCTTGATCTTACATGCATCGTACCACTTACTGCAAAACAACTAGCCAGCCTTCCATGATGCTGCATATGGAGATGTGAGATAATCTGTGGTAATCTGCAACCAAAGCAAGCCTATGCTTAATGAATTTCTAACTTGTAATTTAAAAGAAAAAAAAACCTGATGCACAGAGCTAATAATGGTGCTACCCAACTGATTTTTCAACAGAATTACAAAGGTCAATGAAAACAGGTCTTTGCAATAGCTCTGTACAGCAGCAGTTGCATTTTATTCATTGTATTTTCATCATTCTTTGTGCAAAGATATTCCTTCTCTATTCCCCATTTAATTTCTTGGCAACCATCTTATTTCGTTGGCTTCTGCTTTTTCTCTTTCCCGCAATCCTGGTGTCTATTATCAAAATATTCAGACTTTTAACAGATTTGACAGAAGAATATAACTTAAATATTCAAGGCAGCATTGAATGATTAATTGATTAAAAATAATGTGCAAAAGGTATGGGGAAAGAGCAGGAGATTGGCACGTACTAAATGAGCATCATTACCTCTGGATAATGGCCTTCTCCTGTGTCATGACAGGAGGAAAATTATGAGGCAGTTTTGACAAAGTAATTAGGAAAAAAAAAAAATCATTGTTCCCATTATTGCAAGGGATTGAAAACAAAGGCACCACATACTTAAGATAGTTGTCAAAACCAAAACAAGAAAACAAGAACTTTATTCATGAGTCATTAGGATCTGGAACAGACTTCCAGAGAATGTGGTGCAGGCGGGTTCAACTGGGGGCTTTGGATTAATATCTGCAAAGGAAGAATTGCAGGGTTGTAGAGAGGTGGTGGAAGAGTGGGACTAGGTGAATCACTCCTCAAGGGAGTCAGCACAGACACAAAAAGGGCTGAATGGTCAACTGTGCTGTAGCCAGTGATTAGGCGATTAGCTCACCCTCAGAAAGGAGGCAAAACGAAAAAGAGCTTCTAGCTTTTTCTCCACCACCCATCCCCCCCACACCTCAACTGAGAGTGTTACGATCAAGTCAAAAGGTACACCAAGTGAGATGTAACCAAGTTTGAAGCAAGTTCAGGACAACTTCTATGTTTCAAATCTATCCTTCTAGGTCAGAGGAGAGGCTGTGAGTACTCGTATGGGCCCCAGTTATGCCTCTCTTTGTGGGGTATGTGGAACATTCCTTGTTCCAATCCTATTACAGGCCCCCAGCCACAACTCTTTCTCTAGTATATCAATGATATCATTGATGTGGCTTCCAATTTCCAGCCTGCTCTCTGAAACATAAAAGATAGAGAGCAGGAGACAGCCATTCAGCCCTTCGAGCCAGCTCCGGCATTCTTCACGATCATCCTTTCTCATTACACAGCACCCACTCTAAGATGGCCTGCTCTCCAGTTGGTACATAGAACATAGAACAGCATAGCACAGTACAGGCCCTTCGGCCCACGATGTTGTGCCAAACTTTTACCCTAATCCTAAGGTCTATCTAACCTCCACCCCTACCTTATACTATCATCCATACGCCTATCTAATAGCCACTTAAATGCCCCTAATAAGGCCGACTCCACTACCCTCTCCAGCAATGCATTCCACGCCCCTACTACTCTGAGTAAAGAGCCTACCTCCGATGTCTCCCCTATATCTACCTCCATTCACTTTAAAACTATGCCCCCTTGTAACAGCTACCTCCACCCTAGGAAAAAGTTTCTGGCTGTCCACTCCATCTAGACTTCTGATCACTTTGTACACCTCTATCAAGTCACCTCTCATCCTTCATCGTTCTAAAGAGAAAAGCCCTAGCTCTCTCAACCTTTCCTCGTAAGACCTTCCCTCCATTCCAGGCAACATCCTGGTAAATCTCCTCTGCACCTTTTCCTATACCTCCATATATTGGTCAAGAAAACCATCCTGTATACAGTCCAGGAATTCCTCCTCTACAGCATTGGGCAAATAAAATTAGCCACAATCTATGTACAGATTAAAATCACGCGTGATCACCAATATTCCCTGATCACATGCATCTGTAATTTCCTGTTGTATACCATTCTCAACATCACCACTGCGGTTTGAGGGCCAATATATACTAATACATTTTGCCCCTTGGTATTTCTCAACTCTACTCATACAGACTCCGCATTGTCAGAGCTAACATCCTTTCTCACTATGGTGTTAATTTCCTCTTTAATCAGCAATGCCACTCTGCCACCTTTCCCTTTTTGCCTTCACTTCCAATTTCTGACTCCTCCCTTCCTTGACATCTGTTTCCACTTCTGGGGATAGGCTGGCCACCAATATCCACTATAAACTCATGGACTCCCACAGTTACCTTGACTATACAATCCTCACACCCCGCTTACTGCAAAGACTCTCTTCCATTGTCCCAGTTTCTCCATATCATCTGTTCTGATAATGCCAAGTCCTACAAGGGGACCTCCAAAATTCCCACCTTCTGTGGTACTGAGGAAGTTAACAGAGCCCTCAGTCAGGTCCAACCCATCTCCTGTACTTCAGCCCTTACCTCCTCTTTTCCATCCCACAACAGTGATAGGGTACCCCTTGTCCTCACCTACCGACCCACCACCATCCACATCCAGAGGATCATCAAATGCCATTTCTGCCACCTTCAGCTGGATGCTACCAACAGGCACATGTTCCCCTCCCCTCCCCTCCCTTGTCAGCATTCCACAAGGACTCTTCCCTCCAGGACACCCTGGTCCTCCACTCCTTCACTCCCAACATCCTTTCCACCCACTCCCCAGCACCACCTCCCCCTGCAACTGCAGAAGTTGCAAAACCTGTCCGTTTACTCCCACCCTCCTCAGTATCCAAGATCCCAAACACACCTTCCAGGTGAAGCAGCACTTTACCTGCACTTAATCCAATCTAGTCTACTGCAGTCGCAGGTCAGTGTGGTCGCCTCTACATTGGGGAAATGAAGCATAGACTGGGTGACCGCTTTGCTGTACACCTACGTTCTGTCCACAAAAAAAAAATGCTGAACTTCCAGGTGCCTGCCACTTTAATACATTACCCTATTCCCTGATCAACATCCTTATCTCAGATTTGCTGCAGTACTCCAGCAAAGCTCAGCACATGCTGGAAGAACAGCACCTCATTTTCCACTTAGAAACTCGACAGCCTTCTGGACTCAATTTCGAGTTCAACAATTTAAGGGCTTGAGTACGCTTCCCTAACCCCCACACGCCAGGCCTTGTTATCACATGGTCTGCTATTACACATAACCCATCGTTAGCCACTAATAGTCTTCATTAACAGCTATTCATTCTCCTAGGCTGACTCTTATCCACTCCTTTGGCTGGCCAATTGTTCTTCTCTCTTTCTTTGGGCTCTGTCTCCACCTATCACTTACTCCGTAACTCTCTCCCCTCACACAATCTTCTGCATAAAAAAAAACAACATTTTCCCAGCTTTCATCAGTTCTGAAGGAGGGTCACTGGACCCAAAATGTTAACTCTGATTTCTCTCCACAGATGCTGCCAGACCTGCTGAGCCTTCTCAGGAATTTCTGTTTTTGGTGACTATTCATCCTGTTTCCTGAGTTTACTTTCTCTCCTTCAGTAATGATTATATCATTCATCATGGCAATGTTACCAGCTAATTTATAGAATAAATGTTTAGTGAACTAACTCCCTTGTTAAGTATCAGTATAACTTTTGCTATTCAGCAGACCTCAATGCTTATGGCACTCTACTTGTTGCCACTCTGAATATTTACTCTTTAGCCCTACATTCTGCTTTGGTATCTTTTGTCCAGCCAGTTATTCATTAACTTTCCCACACTCCACCTCAATTCCTCGTAAATTATTGAAAATTTGTAATATTACCTCTATCTCTTCCCCAATTTCTCTTAGAATGTTGATGCAATTCATTCCATAGTTATTTAAATTTTTTTCAAAAAAAAAGCAGTGCTGTTATCACTGACTCATCTTCTGATTTTACATCAATTGATGCCTTTCTGGCTAAAGAGTTTTTAAATTTTCGCTTCTCTCAATGGATACTCCCTCAAATGAGATATTGTCTGTATCGCTACTTGTCATCTGACCTAACATTGACTACGACAACTGGAGTTGTACTCCCTCCATTTTCCAAAACCTCTCTAGCTGCGACAGACAGCCTTTACCCTGACACTACTGGCTAATACATCTTTTGGAGCTTTTATTCATGTCTGTATACAATCTTAGCTAGCCTCCTCCCACTACAACATTTCTATTTGTATTGTTGCCCACTCAATTCACAACAGGCTGCCTCCAAAGCCATTGTGCTTAGTTGCACATTGGTGCTGTTCTTGCTGTAGTCTTTTTTCCCCTCAGGTACTGAGTACATCATGAGTGTATGAAAAAGATAAGGCAGACTCTGTTGTCCAAGGGTCTGCTTTTGAGCTTCTTACTGACATCCTCTCCTTCTTGGACATGTGCTTTCCACAGATGCCACTTCTAGGTAATGTGCATGCTGGATAACACTTCCCTACACACTCCACACACATGTGCATGCGTTTAGAAAATAAAGAGGTCTTGTTGTCCACAAACCACAGCGCTAGCAGATAGCCTGCACTGCCCCTCTAACCTTCATTTACTTGTTTATTGATACCAAAACATAAAAGATCGTTAGGGGGCTTGACAGAGTAGATCTGGAAAGGTCGATTCCCTTGTGGGAGATTCCAGAACAGGAGGCATATTCTTAGCAGAAAAGGGGTTGTATTTTTACGACAGATGAGGAGTAATTTCTTTCGAGATCAGTGAAATTCTTTATTGCAGAGGGCTGTCGAGGCTGGGATAGACAAATTTTTAACATCAGTGAGGAATCAAGGGTTATTTGACGAAAGCAGAGTTGACAATTATGAGACCAGCCCTGATCTCACTGCATTTCAGAACAGACTCTTTGGGCCAAATGGCCCACCTCTGCTCCTATATCTTATGAATGAAAAATCATAGTTGACTTGAAGAAAACAAGTTGTAAATTTGAGTAAACAATGCATAAAGTAAAATCTGCAAGTGAATAAAACTCAAAACCAGTTACCAGATCCATCTTTCAAATCTGAAGTAATCTGGCAAAATAATCACTGATCTAGTCAGTTAACCAGCTCACCTTATCAAGTAGATTGTAAAAGTCAGCATTGCCAGCACAGAGGTACCTGCCCAGCAACGTAGCGTGAGTGGTAAAGATTGTTGCAATTGGGTACTTTTGGATTCTGCTCAGTACGAGCCCCACACCAGCCTGCCATTCGTGAAACTGGGCAATGATGTTTGGTTTGTCGTGGAACTGATCAACAACCTGGGTAAACAATGGAAATCATCTTAGAAGATGCACATTAACCCCAAATAAATAACAGGTATCAGAGGTAAACAATTACGATATACACTGGGTGAGAATCAGTAACCCATTAATCTTGTAGATGCCAAGGTTAAAAAAAGATGCATTCACAGTAAAACAAAAGCATTAAAAAGACAAATATTTTTGCAATTACAAAAAAAGTACTTCATAATAGACATTTTAAGCCCATGATTTGGTGTTACTCCAACTTGCTCATGATTCTGAATTCCCAGCTCTCACCACAGCATTTTGTGCACCCCTTTCAGAGTGGTAGGCAACACCGGCAAGAATTGAAACTGGAGGCTATATATTAGCTCCTAAAACAAAAAGAATGCCTGGCTGCGACGGTACTGCTCACATTAGATAAAAAAGTACTAGAGCTCCACTTGCCAAGGTCAAACCCATGTTAACAGTGGAGTTGCAATTTGAGCTGATGATTGCACAGAGCAACAGGAATAGCCCAACTTCGAGGCCTTTCCACCTTTATATAGAGTCAGATCTTGTCTACAAAGCCAGCTTTTGCTCCATGCTGGTAAAAAGGGAGTTAATTTCAAATGGTTCACACTTAGATCTCAAAGGTGGGCAGGATGGATTCTGACACTACCAGAAAACCGTTCTCCATCAACAGCCTTTGCAATAGTTGCACTGTTGTGACCTATGGAAGGCAAGGACAGTTTAGGAAGGTGTGCTCTTTCATTCTTCACCAAAAAATGCACTCAAAAGAAAAAAAAAGTAGTGCGCTTTATTAGCCTAGTGAAAGTTTTCTCTCACTTCACAAACTAGTAATCCTTTTGGGTCCCTGAGAAAGAAAGAGAGAGATGACCAACGTAAATAACAATCAAGGACAACACAGTATGGACACAGTCAGACTAGGACATAAACTTGCTCTGTAGTGAGGAAGGTAGTGGGGGTGCACAGCAGAAAAAGAGAAGAGAAATATTAAAAATATTAATGGTCAATTCTGGAATATTCTGCACTAATTCAAAATATAGCAAGAATCTCAAACATATGTAACAATTGAAATATTAAATAAAGTTACAAAAATGGTATCAAGGTCAATGTACCTCTTTCAAAAACAAGGCAGTTAAGGACCCAAAAATTACAGCATCATTTGATTCACTGTCATAATGAGGGATGCCAATGTGGCAAGTATCCCAAAATTCTCCTTTCCATTTGTCCAGATTCCAGGCTGCAGAACTAATGTCAAAGAGCAGCACGTATGGATTACCTTCGATCAGCCATCTGCCAAAGCAAACCTGGAAGCAGAGATTGCAAAGTCAGAGTGGATTCCTCAAATCGTAAAAGCCTTTTGTGAACATTTTGCATAAAATTATAACCTGGCTGATGACAACAGGTTCTTTCAAATTTCTATGGTAGGATGGCATGATGATGTTACAGCAATGGTAATCTAGAGATGAAGACGAATGGCCCAGAGAGAAAGTATGTTCACCTTGGGCAAATTTAAATTCAATTAGTCAATGATTTTTTCTTCCAGATTTATTATGAAAAGTATAAATGGTCTTAAAAAAAGTCTGCCTCACTAATGTCCTTCAGTGGAGGAAGTCTGCCATCCTTATCTGGTCTGGCTACAAACATACAACAATGTAATTGATTCTTAAGTGCTCTCAGAAATACCCGAATGAACCTTTCAGTTTCATCAAACTACTCTAGAAAGTAGAGAGAAAAATCAGTCAAATGAACTGCAGCAATTCATGACCCACAAAGACTACCTGTTCAGCATCGCGATCTAGTGATGATAAAACTAATGGCATTGGAGGTATATGAATCAACGTTCACGTAAGCAAGTATTTTAGAGTGCAGTCCTTACCTGAAATCCTTGATACTTCATGGAATCTATGGCCCTTTTTATGGCTGCGTTGTTTGGCTCACACACTTCTACTTGCGTCTTCACATTATGTTCATAATATGGACCAATCAGCACATAGTTCTCCCCCCACTCATCTGCTGTGACTTTGGCCTTTGTCTGGATTACAGTATAGATGCCACCAACTGAAAGAAAGTGCCAGATTTTAAATTCTGTTAAAAGTGAATAAAATCAACACGAGAACTTTAATCTATCCAGATCATAGAATTCTCATAGCTCTGAAAAAGAGGCCATTGGCCCACAGGTCCGTACTGATCTTCAGAATAGCACCCCACCTAGTCCCACGCCCTAATCTATCTCTGTGACCCTGCATTTCCTGTGGCTAACCCACTTAGCCTGCATATCCCAGGACAGTGTGAAACAATTTAGCAATTTAACTAATCCGCACATCTTTGGACTGTGGGAGGAAACCAGGACACCCGGAAGAAACCCACACAGACACAGGGAAAACATGCAAACTCCACACAGACCGTTGCCCAAGGGTGAACTCAGGTTCCTAGCACCGTGAGGCACCAATGCTGGCCACTGACTCACTGTGTTGCCCCTTTTCCAGTAGTACTCTCTACTCTGTTCCTTTCCTTTTAAGCAGCAGACCCTTACCAAATCTTTTCCATAGCAGTAGTTCATCCAAAAGGTCATTGTTGCACCTCTCCTTCTCCCCCACACACCCCCAGATGACAAATTGAAATGTTCCATAGTCTCCCATTCACTCATTCTGGGATTTCACCATGTTAGAATTGCTGCCTTTGTGCGCACAACAGGCCCGACCAGTCCCCCTCCACTGACACCCTCATCCGCTTAGCCGAACTCGTCCTCACACTCAACAACTTCTCTTTCAATTCCTCCCACTTCCTACAGACAAAGGGGGTAGCCATGGGTACCCGCATGGGCCCAAGCTACGCCTGCCTCTTTGTAGGTTATGTGGAACAATCCCTCTTCCGTACCTACACCGGCCCTAAACCCCACCTCTTCCTCCGTTACATTGATGACTGTATCGGTGCCGCCTCGTGCTCCCACGAGGAGCTCGAACAGTTCATACACTTCACTAACACCTTCCACCCCAACCTTAAATTTACCTGGACCATCTCTAACACCTCTCTCCCCTTCCTGGACCTCTCTGTCTCCATATCGGGCAACCACCTCGAAACCGATATTCATTTCAAGCCCACCGACTCCCACAGCTACCTAGAATACTCCTCCTCCCACCCACCTTCCTGCAAAAATGCTATCCCCTATTCCCAATTCCTTCGCCTCCGCCGCATCTGCTCCCAGGATGAGGCATTCCACTCCCGTACATCTCAGTTGTCCTCGTTTTTCAAGGACCGTAACTTCCCCTCCTCGGTGGTCGAGAACGCCCTCAACTGTGTCTCCCACATCTCCCGCACCTCATCCCTCACACCCCGTCCACGCAATAAAAACCAAAAAAGAATCCCCCTCGTCCTCACGTACCACCCCACCAACCTCCGGATCCAACGCATCATCCTCCGACACTTCCGCCATCTGCAATCCGACCCCACCACCAAAGACATCTTTCCCTCCCCACCTTTATCTGCTTTCCGGAGGGACAACTCTCTCCGTGACTCCCTTGTCCGCTCCACACTCCCCTCCAGCTCCACCACACCCGGCACTTTTCCCTGCAACCGCAGGAAGTGCTACACCTGCCCCCATACCTCCTCCCTCACCCCCATCCCAGGCCCCAAGAAGACTTTCCACATCAAGCAGATGTTCACCTGCACATCTGCCAATGTGGTATACTGCATCCGCTGTACCCGGTGTGGCTTCCTCTACATCGGGGAAACCAAGCGGAGACTCGGGGACCGCTTTGCAGAACACTTACGCTCGGTTCGCAACAAACAACTGCACCTTCCAGTCGCGAACCATTTCAACTCCCCCTCCCATTCCTCAGACGACATGTCCATCCTGGGCCTCCTGCAGTGCCACAACGATGCCACCCGAAGGTTGCAGGAACAGCAACTCATATTCCGCTTGGGAACCCTGCAGCCCAATGGTATCAATGTGGATTTCACAAGTTTCAAAATCTCCCCTCCCCCCACCGCATCCCAAAACCAGTCCAACTCGTCCCTGCCTCCCTAACCTGTTCTTCCTCCCACCTATCCCCTCCTCCCACCCCAAGCCGCACCTCCATCTCCTACCGACCAACCTCATCCCGCCCCCTTGACCTGTCCGTCCTCCCTGGACTGACCTATCCCCTTCCTAACTCCCTACCTACACTCACCTTTCCTGGCCCCATCCCCGCCTCTTCGACCTGTTTGTTTCCTCTCCACCTATCCTCTCCTCTATCCCTCTTCTATCCGCCTCCCACTCTCTCCCTATTTATTTCAAAACCCCCTTCCCCTCCCCCTTTTCTGATGAAGGGTCTAGGCCCGAAACGTCAGCCTCTCTGCTCCTATGATGCTGCTTGGCCTGCTGTGTTCATCCAGCCCTGCACCTTGTTGTCTCGGATTCTCCAGCATCTGCAGTTCCTACTATCTCTGATTCGATGGTAAAATGATTTCCTGGTAGTAAATCAAGCTGAGCAGAGAACTGATCAGATGCAATATAGACACATGGTTTCTTCCTTGTTTACTTGATCTACACAGTTCAGAACAGCATAACCGATAAATAATTGTTCCTACAAATATAAAGGGACATTAAGTTTTGCAATCAGCATTTTAGTACTTCATATCCAAAAGCACACCATCACTGAGGACACAGACACAGACACAGACGCTCTTGTGCAAGCTGATATGATTCTTGCCACATCCTGAAATTAAAATAGAATAAGACCATAATGTATAGGAGAAGTAGGCCATTTGGTCCATTAAGTTTGCTGAGCCAATCAGCACGATCATGGCTTGTCTGATAATCCTCAACTCCACTTTTCCGCTTACCACCCCCCCACCTCGTAAGCTTTCATTCCGTTGTAGTTTTAACAACCTGTCAATCACAGCCTTGATGGCCCTCTGCAGCAAAGAATTCCACAGGTTCATTACCTTCATAAGTAGTTCCTCATTTTGGTCTTAGATGGGTAGCCCCTTATTCTGGTCCTTGTCTCTCCCACAAGGGAAAAAGCTCCACATATCCACCCTGTCAAGGCCCCTAAGAATCTTGTGTTTCAATTAGGGTCTTTTTGTAATCTTCTAAATTCCAAGGAGTACAGGCTCAACCTACTCAAGCTCTCAAAACAAAATCCCTCCATACTCAAAGAAGAACTTTCTCTGGACTGCCTCCCATATGATCATATCTTTCCTTATATGAAAGGGGACCAAAACCGTTCACAGTATTCTACTTGTGATTTAATTGGTTCCTTTTATAATTTTAACAAGAAGAAGTCTCTATTTTTGTTCTCCATTCTTTTTGCTTTCCCTATTATCTGAACTTGAATGCAAACTATGTGATTTATGTGCGAGAACACTCCAAATGTCTTTTACTTGGAGATTGTGCACTGCAACAAAACGATATTGAACATCTCTATTCATTCTGCTAAAGTGCGTAACCTCACATTTTTCCCCACATTATATTCCACCTGCCACATATTTGCCCAGTTGCCTGACATATCCAAATCCTTCTGTCCCTCACACTACTTGCCTCCACATCTATTTTTGGGTCATCTGCAATCTTGGCTACAGTACATACACTTTTGTCATACAAGTCACTAATATTATAAATAATCTTGATCCGAGCAGCAATCTCTGTTGCTCTCCATGAGAGAACCTGGGTATTTCAGGATGCCAACCAGTAACCCAACTCTGTCTTCTAGTAGTTAGCCACGGATTGCTCACATCACCAATGCAGCAATGGACTAATATACCTGCCCAGCATATTAATGCCGTACTTTACTGGGAGTACTGATACCAAATACACAATCATCACCTTTTTTACTAAATCTCCAATTTCACAAAGTGACTTGGAAGTCACAAATCTTACCTTCAAATTCCTTCCATGATTTTACTCCACTATGCCTCAGCAATCTCTTTTAAACTTGTTTCTGTCAACACATAGCCAATGGGCCGAATAATAGCAGATGGAGTTTAATTTCAGATAAACGTGAGGTGTTGCACTTTGGTAAGATGAGTCAGGGCAGGACTTATGCATTTAGCGGTAGAGTCCTGGGAAGTGTTGCTAAACAAAGAGACCTGGGGGACACAGGTTCACAGTTCCTTAAAGGTGGAGTCACAGGCAGACAGGGTAGTGAAGGCAGCATTTGGCACACATACCTTTACTGGTCAGTGCATTGAGTATAGGAGCTGGGATGTCAAGTTGCAGCTGTAGAGGACACTGGTCAGGCTACTTTTGGAATACTGCATTCGATTCTGGTCTCCCTGCTACAGGAAAAGGTGTTGTTAAACTTGAAAGGGTGCAGAAAAGATTTACATGGATGTCACCAGGGTTGGAGGGTTTGATCTACAGGGAAAGGCCAAATACACTGGGGCTATTTACTCTGGAGCATCAGAAGCTGAGGGGTGACCTTATGGAGGTTTACAAAATCATGAGGGGCATGGAATAGGGTGAATAGCCAAGGTCCTTTTCCCAGGGTAGCAGAGTTCAAAACTAGAGGGCATAGGTTTAAGGTGAGAGGGGAAGGTTTTAAAATGGACCTAAAAGGGCAACTTCTTCACGCAGAGGGTGGTGCGTGTATGGAATGAGCTGCCAGAGGTGGATGCTGGTACAATTACAACATTTTATGTACCCATCCAGATGTCTTTCAATAGGAAGGGTTTAGAGGGACATGGGCCAAATGGGACTAGATTAATTTGGGCTATCTGGTCAGCATGGACAAGTTGGACCGAAGGGTCTGTTTCTGTGCGGTAAAACTCTACGACTCTGACATTGCTGCCACACTTCAAACTAATGCACTCTACACTATCTATCCCATTCTGCTCATGGTTATTGCTCTTAGTCACTGTACACTATTCAGTGGAGCACCCTAACTCTCACTTGTCGACCTTCAAAAAAACAAAAAAAACAAAAACAAACCAAAAGATCCACATTTTCAATTATAACGTCTCATTTACACCACCCTGTAAAAATGCTTGAGTACTCAAGGAGAGCTAAAGAAGTGGTTGCTATTCAATGGTGTTTTATGGTATGGTGAAATTAGCAATTTTATTGTTTCATTGTCAACAAAATGAAACAACCAAGATTACCAGAAGACCAAAAAAGTACAAAAAGTTAACAATACAAATAGCAGATCGAAAATTAGGTTTGTGGCCATTGGAAACTTCCAGCCTGGAGTATGAATTGGCTATTTGCAGTTGTTTAGTCCCTCTGTTTACACAAGAGATCAGATAATGCAGCAGAATTGATACATTATATATCCTTAGAGATCATAATAAGGCCATAAGAAACAGGAACAGGAGTAGGCTGTTCAGCCCCTTAAATCTGCTCTCCCATTCTCTGACACTTCACATCCACTTTCTTGCCCTTTCCCTGTAACGCTTAATTTTCTGCCTGACCAAGAATCTATCTCAGCCTCAAATATTACATAAGACCTCTGCCCCCACAGTTCAGTGGCAAGAAATTCCAAAGACTCCCAACCCACAAAGAAATGCCTCCTCATCACAGTCTTAAAATTGGCTACAAAAACAAAGTTGCTGGAACAGCTCAGCAGGACTGACAGCATCTGTGAAGGAAAAAACAGAGTTTACGTTTCGGGTCCGGTGACCCTTCCTCTCTTAAAATTGGCTCCTCTTTATTCAGAGACCCAGCCCTCTGGTCCTAGCCTCTCCCATGAGGGGAAACACGATCTCAGCATTTGTCCTGTCAAGCTCCTTAAGAATCCAATATGTTTCAATGAGATCACCTCTCATTCTCCAGCGAGTACAGTCCTAACCTGTTTAGCTTTTCCTCATAAGACAATCCCTCCTTACTGAGGATCACCCTAGTGTACATTTTATGAACTGCCTCTAATGAAATGATATCGTTCCTTAAACAAGGGGAACAAAACTACTTAGTAGTCCTGATGTGGTCTCACCAACACCTTGTATAGTGCCTTCAAATTAGTAGTTCCCAGCCCCCACTACATTTGCAGAAAAAAAATATTATTTTTCCAGTCAGAAGTTACAAGAAGAAAAAGTAATGACTGGGAGCTCCCCCAGTGACTGGCTGATGTTCCAGAACTAGTCAGTGGACCAATTCCTGCTCAGGAATTTGTCAATGTCACAGACCAGCTGGTTACCAATTCTGCCTTTGGGCAATTGCACAAAGGAAGCTGAAAGGCCCTTGGTGACACCCTCTCAGGAAGGCAGAACAAAATGAGCTTCCATCCTTTATCTTTGCTCCCAGCACTAGATTCCACTGGAGTGAGTGGAACTGAACTAACTTCTGCAATCTTCTCTTCTGCTCTGATAGTTCACATTCACCTTCACCTTACACAGGTGTCTCTGGCCTCATTTCCACCCTTCATTGTTGCAAACTGCTCCACTGGCTCCTGAGATTTATTTGCATCTTCCAATTAGAAAATTTAGAAAACTAAACACTTGCCTGGATGGTGGGAGCTGCAAAAAAAAAAAAAAAAAACACTCAAAGTTCAAAATGCCATCCAGGCAAAGTACCCCACATCTACCATTTTAAACATTTACTTCCTCCACGAGAGAGTGGCAGCAGTGTGTATTACGATCAACAAAATGTACTACACAATTTGCCAAGGCTCCTTAGACAGTAAATAAAAAAAAGAAAAAAAAAAACGAAAGAACAGCAGATGCTGTAAATCAGGAACGAAAGCCGAAGTTGCTGGAAACGCTCAACAGGTCTGGCAGCATCGGTGAAGAAAATAATCAGAGTTAACATTATCTCTGTTTTTTTTTTCTTCACAGATGATGCCAGACCTGCTGAGCTTTTCCAGCAACTTCGGTTTTTGTTCCTTTGACAGTACCTGCCAAACACATGATCTCTACCACCTAAAAAAGGACAAAGGCAGCAGATATGTGTAAATACCATCTGACATTATCCCTTCAAGACACACATCATCCTTACTCAAGAGCCCTTCCACAATCATTGAGAGAGAGTGTCCTACAGCTTCCTTGTCAATACATTATACCTGGGCACCATAGACTGCAGCAGTTGGAAGTGGCAGCTCACTTTTTATCAATGGCATTTAGGTATAGGCAATAAATTAAGGCCAAATGCAACACTTGCACCCAACAAATGAATTAAAAACAAGAAGTAACACCATGCTGAGCAGCATATGTATACTCTATCAACTACTGTATTTTGCTGGTGAAATCCCCAATCTTCCCTCCCCCAGATCCTTGCAACAAGTGGACTCCTCGATGGACCCAATTTTCTGGTTTTCCTCCATGTTCCCCTTAACTCTTGGGCTGCCATGTTTTCCGAACAGGGGCCTGTTTCTCCATTTACCTCCCAGGTCAAGCCCTCCATCCTAGCTCCTCATTTCCTCTTTTGAAAAAATACAGCTTCTATCTGTGGTATCAAACTCCTCCTATTTCCAATGCAATACAAGCATATGTACAGTGTATTGCCAGAATCTTGGCTCAGAACAAACTCAGTCAAAGTACTATCAGAAGTCAAGTCTGATTGTCATTTCCTGCGACTCCTCATTAGCATATTACAATGTCACATGATCTTGCTGTCTCAGCCTTGTGCCAAGATGAAGCTGTAGTAAGATATTTCCTGAATAAAGCAAGTGTTATTCTCACTTCAGCAGACTCTATAATACCATGAGGCTGAGGAATATTGTAGTCACCTCTGAACACTCAAGATAGAGGCAAGGGCTTTTAACTTTTTGACTTTTGAAAGAAACTGTCAATTGCAATTCTGAAACAGTAGATAATCTTAACCCATGAGATCAGTCAATATAAAAATGTCTCAAAGCCTAAATAAATATTTAAAGTTGTTAATTTATTTTTAGGGTCCAAGGATGGGCTGACTTGGGATTTTTTGGAGCAATTTTTCAACCTTGAAGGAGGGGCTATAAACTTGAAATGAGAGGGGTATTTAGGAATAATTCAGGATTGCACTTATTCCACGTAAAATAGTGATGGAGGTTGGAAACCTCTCTCTCCCCCAGTGAGACCGTGGATAATCAGGCAGGTGGAACTTTCAAAACGGAGATTAATAAATTGTTAGTTAATTGCACTTAGAGGTATGAAATAAATGGGATTGAGGTACAGATTAGCCATGATACAACTGAATGGACAGAGGTTCCACAATATTCTGCAGGAGTTCACTAGGCTATTCTGTTCCAATGATTCAATTATTTACAACTCAATATTTAAACTGAAGATCACGTTTTTTTTTAAAAAAAAACGGCAAACACAGATCTTTATAATAGCTCAATCTGTAGGAGAATTAGTGGTCATGGATACCGTTTTAGGCTTTGGGAACCCTGTTCTAGTCTAATCGAAGTTTTCGATAAAAGAGAGGGAAAAGGAAAATGAAAATGTAATTTTGCGTGGAACAAACCGGCGTTTTCTAAATCAAACTGCTGCAGCTTCCCCCCCAAAGAATTCCGAATGTCAACTGGAGAGAAGTTAATGAGCAACTTGGAAGAGGTCAAAAGGTCCAGGGAGCTGATAACACCGCAGTGGCAGGGAAATTAAAGGTTAACTCGCCAGTTACCCCCTCTCCCCCCAAAAAATAAAGAGACCAAACTAAAAATAAGAAATGGCTCATTCAGAAATTAAGCGGTTCTTGTAAAATCCAGCATCGAGTTAGTATGTAACTCAAAGCTCCCAACAGAGTGGGGAGGGGTCCTTTCTGTAGCTGAGACCAGTTACTGACCTTTATTGGTAACTTCCCATGAAATCTCAAAGAACATCAAATCTTCCACAGGCAAACTTTCATCTTCCCAGAAAGGGAGTCCGCTCAAAGAGGTCACTGAGAGTGACCTGAGCAGCGGCATTTTGTTTTGAAGTGAAGCCCCCTTTCAAGAGGGCTGCGAGAAAGTTGACTTCTGCGCTGGCTTCAGCGCTGGTTCTGATTCAGTGAAAACGCTGCCCCCAGCGTTGGGATTCTCACTGGAAATCGCAGCGGTCACTCTGACGTGCTCTAAAGTGCCTCATGAGAGGACCCCCCCCCAACAACAAAGTCATTTCTCCACTTAGGATAGAAGAAGTGGCTTCTCATGGAAAAAGAGAACTCCCACTATGTGCCTTTATCACGTGAGTTTCCAGTGTCCTGCCCATTTCACGTAACAGTTTACCTCTCAACCCAATCACCCCCTTCACCCCTCAGACTATCGATCCCTCCATTTACCTGTCACTCTGTACTGATTAATAACCTGGGTGAATATCATCAACAGCCAACTTTGTGACATTCACTTTGGTGCATAACTCAATTTGCCATTCTGTTTTAAAATAATATGTACACCGACCTTTTATATAAATAAACCAGAGGATCATGTTTCAGGATTACAGAAACATAGGGGTTTAGCCAGGGATCTCAACTGACACCGATTTATATTACGTTAAATATCGCAGCATTTCTGTTGTAAAAAGGTCAAACAATACTTTTCTATTTTAAATAATGTATGTTCTGTGCTTTGCTGTTCTCCGTTTTAAATATTGACCCCAGTGCCTTCAGGACAATGATTTATAACAACAACTTGCATTTTTCTGGCGCTTTTAGTGCAATAAAACGTCCACCAAACGCTTTACAGGAGGGTTGATGGGGCTTATCCTCTCTGTGGATTACCCCCTTTGCTGTGGTGGAGAGGCTGAGGGTTCCATTGATCCCAAGGGCAGTGCCCTCTGGAGTTCTTAACTAGTGGCAGGGCCAGATATGATGGTAAGGTCAGAAGGAGGAACCAGACATAGCTCAATCCAAAACAAATCCTCAACGACGATCCAGGCGGAAGATATTTGTGTGATATCAATGGCTACAACAGATGATGGAGGCTGCAAGATTAGGGAGATCCCCAATCAGCAAGGTTTCCTTGTCACTGGGTCTACCTGCTGCCAAGGACCATGTGTCTGCTGATGTACAACAGTTAAAATATATCACACAGATGTTGTCTCACAGACCTGCTGAGCTTTTCCAGCAATTTCTGTTTTTGTTTTTCTCATTATTCATAACTGTTAACATACACAACAGGAAAGATTTATTCCCATCGCAAAGACACCCTTGTCATTTTACACCTATTATCCACCACTATTCATGTTTTCCAGTTAATCAAATTAGTGCAATACCTGGCAACAACAAATCACCAACTCTTAAATACAAAGACCAATGAGCATTATCTGTTCTCTACTATGGAGTCAAAAACATTTCGTGGTCAGGTGTCCTTGGACAAGGACCGTGTGATGTCCATCAATGATCGCAATGTCTTTAGAGAGAGGTGGACACTGCAGGGGATACTGTGCTTTATCTTGTCCTCCAACTCCAATTTGATTTAGTCCTTTCCTGCTCTCCCTAGACCGCCCACCGCCACCTTTGATGGTTTGTCTTTACTGGTGGTGTTTACTAATTTAAAAAGAAGCAAGAGAAAATGTCACGGTGATTTTGTTGGTGGGAAGGCGCTTGGTTTTATGTGATAACACTTCTGGGTAGCAAAAACCGAAGAGACCTGCATCTCTAACACTGACACCATCATGCAAGCAATGGAATGGTGAATCTAGAGTGTATAAGTGACAGTTTCAGCAGCAGATCGATCAGAAAACCACTCCTAGTGTTAACACAGTGCCAGTCTGCTATTGGAATGTGCATTGATGGACAATATTGAACCCTTACTGTTGAATAATTTGGTAATAGTCACTGTCCAGCAACCCAAAAAGGAATTGTAACTTTTTGAGGCCTGCTTCACTCAAGAGTTTTTATCAAATGGTCATTAGATTCTGTCATGCTTGGCTTAGTGTGTATCAGTCTTCCCTCTGAGTTCACAGATTAGGAATTCGATCCCCAGTCCATTGATCTAAGTAGCAATTTCAGCTTGATATTGCAGTGCCATATAAAGAAGGCCATAGCACTATTCATCATACAATTCATATACTTCAGATAGTGCTTAAATAGCTGTAATGTGCTTAAGATGCTCAAAGGTTGAAAATGTGCAGTAAAATACAAGTCTTTCATTTGGTGATGATATTCCTGCCTCTGAGTATGTAATTGTGTGATTGAAACCCCACTCCAAGCTGTCTGGCCAAGTGCAGATTGAAGCTCCAGCATTGAAATCACAGCAAAAATCCAGTGGGAATACTTGTGGCTGGATGTGTGAAGAGGGCCTCTCTTCATTATATGTTTCTGGGAGACTGTAAAACCCTTCCCCCCACCCCCTTCCTCAACTCCTGCATAGTATTGGTTGTGCTAACCTCAGGTATAAACGGGGTAACAGCCACAGAAGGAATGCTTCTCACAGTGTGCCTCGATGGTTAATCAACTTTGATGTCTTCATACTCTGCCCATGGAGAATAGTGCAATGATATTAAAAAAAATAACGCAGAAGACAAAATTCTGCATCACTAGCTGATCCCTGTTGAAGGTTAAATATCTTTTACTCCGTTCGGTCTGGCTCCTCCCCTTGGCTCGACACTGCTGACACATTCCTCACTGCATTCTCTCTCTGACCCTGTCTCACCTTCTTCTCCAGCATACAACTCTCATTCAGGATTGAGCAAAGAACAGGCCAGGCAGGATTGTTTTACACCCAACACTTAGAACATGAATTAGTTCAGCAGAAAGATCTGCAAAGTTCTTCAATGTCAAAAGAAACAAAGAAAGCCTTGTATTTGTATGAATATTGTTAAATATTGAATATTCACTGGACGAGCACATTTGTATTTTACATCTATTGATGGATAAATCTATTTTAAGGAAACAATGATGTGTTTTTAAAGGGGCCAACACATATCATAAAGTACTTAGGAAACATTAATCACTAGTCAAGTTTGAGTACAGATGGATAAATCTTATCCACATTAACAGAATGTAAACATGACCTTAGTAATCTGGTTAATTTAGGTGTCAATGTCTAGCTGCAAATTAAATGTCTTGTTCTGAGTTACTCGCTACTTCCTATTTTCTAATCAATTTATCTAGCCCGGTGTTCTAATTTAGATGTTTAGTTTTGTTTTATTGTCAATAACTTTCTAAAACTCCAGAATTGCAGCAAGGCAGGGTTCCACCATCCTCATTCTAGAAGAATTTAAAGCAGTTTGATAGCCAGAACTCTCCCTTCTAAACTCAGCATGGTGGTTCTCACTAAATTATTTTTATATAGCCAATCATGGGATGTGGGTATTACTGGTTAGGTCAGCATTTACTGCCCATCCCTAATTGCCTTTAGAAGGTGGTGTCAAGTTGCCTTCTTAAACTGCTGCATTCCGTAAGGAGTAAGGACGCAAATAGTGCTGTTAGGAAGGGAGTTCCAGGATTTTTAACCTGGCAACAGTGAGGGAAATGTGATAGAATTTCAAGTCAGGATGGCCTGTGTCCTGAATGGGAACTTGCAGTGGTGATGTTCTTATGAATCTGCTGCTTTTGTCTTTGCAAGTAGTAGAGGTGGTGGCTTTGGAAGGTGGTGTCGAAGGAATCTTGTGAATTGCTACCATATATCTTGAAGAAAGCATACACTGTTAATAAAGAGTAGCTCATCCAAACTGTTCCAAGCATTATCTCTGAGGGTGAGCTTGTGTTAATGGTCTGGAGTTACTGGAGTTACACCTCACATCCTCTTTAAGACAGGAATTCTTTGTGAAGTCACACCAAAAGTGCACCAAATGCAAAGGTTTCTATAATGTAGCAATGCAAACTCAAAAAAGCCTTTCGTGGTCCTTTTTAAAAAAAAATGGCTTCAAAATGATATTTTACCCAGTCTAGTTTTTTTTTCATCTGTGGGTTCAAATTTTTCAAGAGATCCCAAAGTTATTATGCCAAAATCCCAGCCAATGTTGTCCTATTTTGTGGGTTCCTGACAGGATAACCCAAATTATTAAGCTCCTGGATGAGGAGGGATAAACTAATTCCCAGTCTTTGTTCATGTACCCCTCCAATTGGTCACAACAGGTTAACTTAAGAATGGATTCCTTCTGTTCTGGTTATCTTTCTGATAGACTCAAATGAATTTAGATTTTAAAAGAGGAATCTTAGGGAGTCTCACTAAGCTTAGGAGAACACCCATAGCTTAGAGGGAAAGACATTTTTTAGTTCTACTTTGGTTTGGACAGTTTTGTGGAATTTTTGGATGGAATTAGTAGTATAGAGCAGTGCACCTAAAAAACAGGACAATGTAGCAAAACTAGATTACCTTAGAGTAAGGAGTTGCTCATAGTTCCAGAAGTGTTGTGATAAAACCCTAAAGTGGATACTTGAAGCTAAGGACATTTAAACACAGGGAGAAGCTTTCATTGGTTATAGTATGCGAGTTAAGATCACAGTTATATAAACCTATCGAGCTTGAACAATCCCTACAGTGTGGAAACAGGCCATTCAGCCCAACAATCCACACTGCCCCTCTGAAGAGCATCCCACCCAGACCCATTCCCCTACGTCTGCATTTTTCCTCATGTCTAACCCACCTAACTTAAACATCCCTGGGCACTATGGGCAATTTAGCATGGCCAATCCACCTAGCCTGCACATCTTTGGACTGTGGGAGGAAACCAGAGGAAACTCACGCAAACATGGGCAGAATGTGCAAACTCCACACAGACAGTCACCCAAGGGTGGAATCAAACCCGAGTTCCTGGTGCTGTGAGGCAGCAGTGCTAACCACTGAGCCACTTGCTGTGGGTAAGTCACCACCAGTTATCTTTAATTTAGCTACTTATTAAGAAATTTCACAGACAATCAAGTACTGAAACAATAAACTTTATTACATATAGCAACTAAAATAAGACCCCTGAAGTAAACGATTTAAGCCTCACGACTCAACTTGGCTATTACCTGATTAATGGTAGAATTTACTTATGATTCCAACCAACAGCATCTGACTCTGGAAGTGTCCAGGATTCAATCCTTGCACAGTATTGTTCTTTAAAGTTCTTCTAAAGGGAGAGTTCTAGTGTTGGATTCTTGCACAGATTTCCATCTTTTAGGTCTATGATGTGATATTACTGATGATTCTTTTAGAGTCCTGTCACCCAAAATATTGATTACTCCTTTGGAGCCCTTGAGACTGCAGCTTGCTTCCTTATCAGAAGTAGCTTATTT